TGAGATGGAAAATTTCGAAAATAAGCGATATTGAGATGGCTGTAAGTCCCCCAAAACGCATTCAAATGTCAGAAGTGACGTGTTCATTGGAAAGCTCATCCAATTCTCTTCAATTTCAAAAAAAACGTCCGATTCGGCGGAGTTTTTGAAAAGTTACGGACCTCCGAAAAAAGAAGACGAAGTTTTTAGGTGGCTCTATTATTTTGACCGCCACTGTATATATACGCATATCGACGTCTGACGATATCCGGAAGTGTGCGAGCGTCCTCAATTTCGGTCGCAGAGCTTTGAGGAGGATCTTGATTTTGATTCCTTCTCCCGCTCCCTCCGGCGTCTCAGCGAGAAACCTGACGGACTCCAGTGTCCAGTGGCCAAGAGGATTTCCCCTGGGTTAGGATAGGGGTCCCGTGAGAGGGTTCATTGCAAGACATTCTCAGACATCCTCAAGAGCATGAGAGGTTTTCGTCAATAGCGTATAACCCGCTCCTCAGGTCGCGTATTCGCGCGATCTGCGTCGCAGAGAGGTGGCTTCACTGTCTCTCGTAAATTGTGTAGCACCGGAACCACTTAGGGACTAAGCGGTCAGATTGATTCTCGGAGCCAGCTGGACACAGGTGTGGGCAGCTGACTTTGCAAGAGAGTCTAGGATAGATGAAGGAAGCGCACCGCGTAGGGAGGCTTGAGCGATGGCCACTCCCCCCCTCGTGAGCTTCCGGATGAAAATCGTCATCCTCTCCCACCCGCTCAAGTTTTCTAAGGCTCGAGATGATTCCCTGCTCCGTATACTGGTCCCCGGAGTGACAGCGATTCGTCGGTTAGGATCCTATATTTTGACATGCGGATTCTGAGTATGTTCTCTCGATTCCGTTCTCCGCGGGTTCGCCGAGAGCCCCGGCAACCGATAAGCGTGAGGTGCACTCGATCTCCTCGGTGGGATATGCAAGGATTAATTGAGTTTCGCAAAGGGCTGCCGGCGTGGGCTTCCATGATAAGCGCAGAACTGACTCTCCTGGAAATTTTCTCGCCTGAAGTCCTCCGACTATATAATCTGAGGGATAATGCCTAGAGATGAGACAGCTGCTCGTGGACTGAACCTCCGAGTCGACTAAGGATCGGTGCTGCATTCCCCCAGCCTTCCGGAAGATGCGAGCGGCCTCCGTGGTGGACGTTTCCAGCCGATGGTATGCATGGGAATATGTCTTCCGTTGCATTCTCGAAGTCGAGCGAAGAGCTCTAATGCGTCAGAGGTTTTGTACGGCATCGCGTCGCCGGCGGGGAAGCCTCTGCTGACTCCTGAGAAGTAACTGTGGACGAAATGATGAGCCCCCATTGATTTCAGTTGTCCTATCCCTAAATCATAGTGATTCCGTTCACGTACGCTCTCGAGACCTTTCTCGATTTCGCGTCGCGAACGAGCGATCTTCGGCCCGGAGCTAGACCCAGAGCCGGAGCCAAAATTCTATGTTTGAGATGTAACGGGAATCCAAGAGCACCGAAGCACTTGAGCCGCTTCCCGGTATAAGGTGGGCTTTCTCGGACCCTGAGACGAGAAGATAAAGTAGAAAGCGTTTTCCCGAGGTGGACTTGGCTGGCATGAAGTTTCTGCAGAAGCCCTTTGACACCGGAACCGGCTCGGAAAACGGCGTTCCTTTCAGACGAAATGCAATCTGATTTTGAGCCTCGGAGCATACAGCCGTTTCGACACCTCCCGAAGCTAGAAACGAAACTTGCATTGATGAGAGCCGAGCGGCAACTCAGAAACGATCACTCCTCCCAAAGACGCGAGTCTTTTCGCAACGACCCATCCGGTCACGACTTTGACGTGCCCAAAACGTCTTTGAGCGTAAATTCGGGTCCAGCTCCCCATGAAGCTAACAGATGAATAAACTGTGCCTTGGATAAAGAGAAAGCCGGCGGAGAGAACTGAGGTCTCTGGTGCATCTATCCAACGGAAGCGGAGTGCCGTCATGAATGACATCCTTGGCGGTCCGAGTTTGTCAACGAGCCTCCCTCTCGACCCTGTCACCCTTCCCTCCAGGTTGAGGCGAAAAGTAGCTCTCTGGGCAGAAGATCGAACGGTATCAGATCTATAATCAGCATCAAGCTCTCACGAGCAGATTACAAAGCTCGCCGGGGAAGTACAAACCGGGCCACTCTTAGGAGAGTGGCTGTGAGGTTGTCCGAGCATTCCGCTGGAATGAGCGAGCTGCATCGTCATCCAGTGTGGGGGATCTGTGCAGGAACTCGTATACACCCGTTCCGCTAGCTGGCTAGATCACTCATCCGACTCTGAGAAGGGCGAGCATGACGAGGTTGACCTTTGTCACTTCCCTTAGAGAAATGGTAAATGAATGTTCGCGCCTTCTCTAAGTATGGACTTCACATGACAATGTACGCAGCTTCTTGATGAGTGGATGCACAGCTGCATTCGCGTCGTCAAAGAGACAGAGCGGTCACGGTCATTCTGTGTCGGGATTCGATTATTTCTCAGCCATCAACAGTCGCATCTGGGGGCGAGGGACGAACGAAAACCTACATGACTTGTCATGATTCTGCCTCCGTTTCAGGACGGAGTGCGTTGTGAATGAATCTCCGTCAGTTGCGTTCTTTCTAGATGACACAGTTCGTGGCTTGCGAATCTTCAGCCAGGCTTCGATCAGCGGAGCACTTGGTCCCTTCCGACTGCTGTGTCATGAGCTGGCCCCTCACAGGAATCCTCGAAGCCTCGAATTCTATGCCCATTTAAGTGGATGACGATCGAAGAATACTGCGACAAGCATGGAGAAGCCAAAGCAAGCAGTAAGACAGAGATAAGAGTGCGGAAGTATACTACAGCAGAGCCTCCCCCGATCGTCGGGGAAAAGTGATGATACGGCTGAGGCGATGGAGTTCCCCGATCGGCCACACCGAAACAGATCCCCACATGGGGAACGGAGGAACGAAATAATGGGATAGCCTAAATATCTCAAAAGTAGAGATCATCTCGACGGAGGGGTCATCTACTATCAAGCAGCCCCTACCGCAGGTCTTATCTCCACTCTGGCTTACACCGATGTTACCGTCTACGATGATCACTCGCTGCAAGCCAGCCAGGAGGTGAAATTGTTCTTCCTCGTTCATTTCTCTTTCCCCAGATTCCCAGGATGCCTGGAAACTGCATTCGAGTTGGATCCCGACTCATACTGCTCAAAAATTCGACAGAAGAGTCGCTCCAAATTCGGGAGGTTTTTCCCATTTATTCCATCCGGTACGCAATCCTCTCCTCCGTACACCCAGGGGGGAGGGAGATCGTGCGCATTCCGTTATACCTCAATGTATCCAATCCGGTCCGGCGATTTGAGACCGTACCCCTCTCATGAGCTTGTGGCGAACGAGTTGAATAAATTATGTGGGTTCGTTTCGGGGGCGGAAATCCGACGAGTTCTCAACCAGGGTGTCTGAGGACCTCGCGGTTCGCCACCTCCGGGAGAAGTTACCATTGAGCGGAGACTTGGATGTCGTTAACGGATAGTTCGCCTTTTTCGTCCAAATAGTCGACCAGCCGTTTCATTCCTTCGACCATCTCCATCCCGGAGGGGATAATGAATTCATTCGGTAGAATGAAACCGAATCTGCCTTTATCGCGAAGTTCGATCACCATCGGATACTTCACTTTGGCTTCGTCGTGTGCCCAGTCTATTGCAGCTCCGGATGTGTGGTCTGCAAAACGTTGGGAAACGTTGCGCTCAGAATCTCTGGTTTCCTCTGTTTCACTCCAGAGTCACTCTCTTCGATTTGCTCGGATCATCTTACGTCGAGCAATCATCAGCGAGTTTAAGTTTCATGGAAGTCGATACCCACACATGGTCTCCGCCGCAGGTCCGTACTTATAGGTGACGTTGAACTGGTCCGCGAGTCCTTCGACAAAAACTTTCATCGCCGCTAATTGATCCTCGTGCGCCGCCGGCTTGGTTGTCGTGTAGCCGTAGGGAGACATGACGACCTTGAGAGGGAAGGTAGATTAGATCGACCTGGGACAGTACGGATAAGGAAGCTTCCTCTCCACTGGGATGCCCCTCTCGGAAATCCTGGAGTCGAACTTAGTTTTGGAGATCGTGAACAACGCAGACTTAAAAAGTTCAGGCATTTTACAAGAAAATCCTTGGCCTGCTCTTAGGCCTTTCCCGAGCATCTTTGGGTAGAACGTCGTTTCGATACCTAAAGTAGGTGATCGCCTATTTCGGCGTCCGGACCGTCGGATTCGGAGATCCCAACGGGGGGAACCGGTGAACGATCGAAGTTTCAGACTCATATGGGTGAGGGAAGGGGGGGGGTTTGTCGCGATTATCCTCGAAACTTCACAGCAAGGTGCCGAAGGGAAGCGCGTCGCTTGGGAAGAGCTCAATGCAGGCGCCCTCTATGAGAGCGAAGTTTCTACTGTGTTCTTCGAAGGCGTAAACTGCTTGCCAATATTGAAATATTGCGGACAGTTATTCAATGGATGCGACTTCCTCGGTTCCTGAGATGCCTGTTTCGCCTCTCCATGGCGCCTCTCCCAGCCTTCCTCGGCGCCTTCGGCCAGCTTTTCTTTTGTTTTTCAGTGCCTACGCTTCTTTGTTACCCTCGTCGGTCAGCTGGAAAGTTTCCCCTGTAGCGCTGATCCAGCTCGGATAGACAGTGCAGATTGAGATATAGCAAGAATTAGTGTCCTCTCTGGAGGCCGGACCGCTCCATGGGCCCGGAAAACTATCTCACCTGGGAATACGAGTGCACATTCAGATAGACTAGAAGACGGCCTGACAACCTGTTGATCCCCGTTCGTATAGCCTGGGACTCCTTTTCAGAGAAGGGCGTGAGCCCGGCGAAGTTCTCCGCACACGGGTTCGCACTCGACCCTCGTCCTTGTTTGGAAGGAAAAAATCTGTTCGATTCCGTGAAGATTTCGAGACAACAATCTTATCTGCCAGACCCAACTTACTGCCAAAATGAACACCGAAGTTTCGATTAGGATCGACTCCTCGACAGAAGCGGGAGAAGCGGATCGTGCGTCGCCGGTTTTTGCGCCAAAGACGGTTCTGGAGAGCATATGTTTTTTTTTTCAGGAACATAAAAAGAAATGTATCGGAGGTATAAGGAATGGATACGGCTTTCCGTTGAGAACGCTGGAGTGGCTTACCGAGGCCCAGCTGTACTCATATCCGTCGGGGTTGACGACTGGGAAAATGTACCAATCCACTTTCTTCGTCAAATTCGAAGTACTGGGGTTCTCTTCTTGGTTTTCTAATAATCTGTGGGTAAGGTACATAACTGTCGCCGGTGAAATCCATTCTCTGGCATGCATTCCTCCGTCGATGAAAATTGCTGGTCGGTCTGGCTGACCTGTGCCGATCTGTTGACGTGGGGAAACTTCGCAAGGTGGGCACCAAACTTTATTCAGCTATGATGCATGATCACGCATGCGTAAAAACTTTCGACAAGGCCCCCGGATCGGAATCCTTACCCGGATGCCGGTGATTTGTCGACCCTCTGAAGTTTTGCCCAGGACGAGGAGGCGCGTGTTGTTCGGATGTGTTTGGTGTAACGTGATCAGAGATTCATTTATCTGCAGAGCAAACTCAGTGTCAGTAAAACCTAGTATTTTCCGACATCCACCAGGAAGCAGGAATATTTCAGCAATATCGATCATAATGATCAGGATCGCGGAATCAATATGCATGGAACTTGGCGGTGCATCTTTTGCGGCCGTATAGAAGCAGAGGTTGCATTCGCGAGCGTGATTATTATAGAGAGAGCGGCTCGCGCGTTCGAGGATTTGGTTAAATTATCATTCAGAGATGCCCAGACGTCCTCGCGATTGGACTGCTTCCGGAGAGGGTTAATCGAGGTCGTCGGAAGTCAAAAAGTGCATATGTAGCCAGTAATCCCGACGACCGCTCATGAGGCTTACTTCTTTCAGAGTGTGGTACATTCCAAGATTGAAGTCGCCGTCACGCAAACCCAGTCCATCTTCATGAGCATCATTTTCTCTTGCCTCGCGATCAATCCACCTTCGAAAATAGAAGATGGGTCATTCATCGTGACATGAGTCCTTCTCCGGAGTAGAATGCCCCGACGCGGCCGATATTCTGTTTGTTCCCGAACAGCTCCTCGGCGTGACTCTATCGTGCTCAACTCGAGCTCTGAGACAGACAACCGTCCTTTCATCGAAACGGAGGAGAAGAAATCGGTCGCTCCTAAGCATCGAGTGAATTTCCGGAATTGTTGTCACATGGACGCGTTCTGACAATAAGAAAAAACTTCTCACGATCCGAACGTACTTTTGTAAGTTATTTGTGAGTGTTGAGTGGGGCACATCGGCTCTCTGAAGAACATCCTCCAATTCTGAGATTCTACTCGGAGCGATTCGAAGGAGGATTTCCTGATTCCGCTCGAGGGGCTCGTCCCAGAAATCCACTTCATTTCCCCCGTCGTTGGCTGCTTCCGAAAGTAGGAGGAGGCTCTTCAATAGCTCCAGCTGTTTCTCAGAAGTTATCCGAACTCTCAGCAGGTGGTGGCTGGGAACGTATAAACGATTTCTTCCTCCGGATCATTGAAGGTATCATGCGATTCGACAGTCATGCCCCCGACACCGAAGAAACCACTTATCCGACGCGTGGCCGGTGGAGAACTCTATCAAAGATCTTCGAAATGAAAGATACCCGTCGTAGCGCACAATATCCTCATTTGTGTCAGCGACCTCATCAGGTGTCGAATCGAGGAGCACATCCGATTCTTCGACAAACACTTGTTCCGAGAAAACGGTAGCATGAAACACGAATATTAACAGAAAGCGGGCCATCGTCAGGATGATAACAGCGACCGCCGACCGATCGAAGTTCAACCGATCGGTGTTCGCTCGGGATCAATCTCCCGCGGTTCGCCTCGCACACCGCTATGTGGTAAGCGCAGTCATAGCCGGTGAGGGACGGTCAACCAATGAGGTTGGATGCTCGTGCAGCCAGAACCGGGTCTCACTCGCCTGATTGATCTGTCGACTGAGACATTCTGAATCATTTTTCTTCCGTCCACCTCGACGTGACAACGTGTTGCCGGAGGAGCGACAGTGGCACCAATTTCCTTTCTGCATTTCACTGACTGGTGCCCGGCTCATCCAAACATCGGCCGTTGGCGTATTCAGAAGGACGGAGGCGGTTTTCATCGTAACATCAAGCTCCATGGATTGATGTGCTCGGAGCCCTAGCCTCAATATTCACGAGAAAAACGTTGATCCGTTTGATGGCCGTTGTGCGAAGAAATCAGGCACGACGTGCGTCCTGTATACAGTTTCTGAACCTCAAAGATCATGAGATCACCTCCGATGTGATGCGGGTGGGAAAAATTTGATTTTGAGGACACGAGTTCTAGAGCGTGCTCCATCCGCGAAGGTCTTTCGCCTGCGCACGGATTGGCAGAGTCAATATGACACATGCTCGACAATCTCAGAGGAAAGAGAGACGCGCTTCAGCGGAATTATTGTACAATATTTTACTGTTCATCCTTGTAGATTCCATCGTATTATTTGGGTCAGGGAGCGAAGAATCCATTGGCTTCTTCTGTACTTCGGTCTGTTTGATCGAATGCGCCCGTCGAAAAGATTAAGCTTCGATCACGTGGGAGTTGTTTCTGTCTATCTCCGAGATGGGGTGCGCAGAAATGTCCAACCCTTAGCGACGATCGCAATGCCGATTGCTATACACACTGTTGAAAATGAAAGTACCTGGAAGAAGAGGAGACCCGCAGGGAGAATTACCCACGGTTGTAGCCGCTTCAACATCTGGGATCTCACACGATGTGAGCTTCATCGGCTCATCGTGGGCCCGAGCATATGATTCAGCATAATGGCCATAATCTTGCCAAGGGTTCGCACCAGCTATCGCAAGCAAAGGAATGAGCCAGAATGAATTTGCATTCCCGAAGAAAGTGTCTTCCTCCTTTAGAACTGTTGCTTTCTCATCCAGATCGTTGATGGGATCTTCTAATCGATTCAGTACATGGGATAACGTAGCTTCCAGATCTCCAATGGACGTACACAACTCATCTGAAACTGAGATATTCCGAACACTCCTGATGCTGGAAAAGGATGATCAGCAGGAAAAACATCAAGCTCAAAGAGGTGGTGGAATGTTATGGGTGGATATCAAGCGGAATACAGATTTTGAGCATTTCAACGGCAATTGACTCGTGATAGCAACAACATATAATGAAGCTCGTTTCCGAACAGAGAATCGTTCCGGAGCAGAACCGTCAGGCAGTTAAGGAACAATGAGGCATTTCTTTTGGACGGCTGAGTGGAGGGGAGCTCGCTTTGCTTGGAGGCTGTGTGACCCTCGTCTTACATCTACACGAGCAGATTCGCGGGAGCGGATAGCAACGACGACGGAACATAAGAGGACATAAGACAGAGCATCACACGTACCTTTAGAACCAAGCGGAGGGCACCTTGTCCACGATAGAAGCCTTGCCAGTTGACAGTGTCTTCGATAGAGCCTTCTCGATATCGGACGAGCTCTCGCATTCAGAGTCTATGAAGACAAATGCGAGCGAAAAGTCAGTTCTGGTCAAGCAGATTTCCTCGGACCAAGACATGCGTTGGTACTACAGCTTTCCTCTACACTGAACGTGAAACACCAAATCACACGCAAGCGCTGAGCGGGAGTTCCCGCCGTTCCTGATAGCTATCATGAGCACGCGGATAGCGGCGCAAGTCACTACAGAGTGAATGGACAGAGAGTTCCAGAGACAGGACCCTCAGGGTCAACGGAACAAACATCCATGAACGCATTTTTAAATTCACCTCTCGCGAGATCGTCCAGCTTTGAAATTTCTTTGGTGGGTATATAAATCTCGAGCTTGACTGCCTTCCCAGCTGGAGCCCTCCGACCGATCTTCGCCTGGAAAATAATAAGTCGACTCTCGAGGCTTCCCAAGCACCATGAGATTTCTGAGCGGTATGAATTTTCAGCGCAAATGTGCTCCATGATCACAGGTGGGGTACCTTGCTAACAAGATTCAGCGCCAATCGTCTCAGGTAAATAAATTCACGATCCATGCAAGGCTCGTCGCCGCCATCGTCAACTAAGTGGCGGAGCAGCTGGAGCTCGCGCAGTTTTCTTTGGCAAACAGAGAGTTCTCTGCGTTGCTCCCGGCACTCGTTGCGCTCCCTGTGAAGCGAGATTTTTTAAGTCGGATCAATACTGTGGGTTCACCGATGATTTTAGGTTAGAGCTACGATTTTGTCGGTCCGAAGGCGAGCTGCCTTTCAGCGCTACATAGATAGAGTTCGGGCGCACAGGAAGGACCCGAATTTCTTCCGACACCGGAGAGAAGAAGGAATTTCTGCGTGGCACCGTAGGGGGTGAAGCGTCCGTGCTCCTCAAAGCTCGGACAGGCGTCGACTGCTCGTTCCACGACCGGGAAGGCACTCTGTCAGGCTGCCATCGCCGGCATGAAGGGGGCACAAGGCGCAGGTGAATAGACACCGAAGCCTGGCTCCCGGAATTCTAGGCTCACAATTGAAGAACGCCGTTTAGCCATGTTTCTACCTAAAGGATATCGTTTGACCGAAACATATTCAGTAAAGGACGATGAGGGATAGTCTGAGGGACTCCGGATCCAATATCGGTCAAGTTTCCTTCTTGCAGAGTCAGAAAGTAGACGAGAGACATATCCTGCGATAGGCTGGACAGAACCGAAAGTATCCAGACAATTGTCAAGACTCACCTCGTGCTCAGCGGCCGAACAACTCCGTTCGCGTTCCCCAGGCGCTCGACCTTTTCAATAACAGGGTCTTCCCGGGTTTTGGAGGGTCGCCATTCGAACATATCTGTGGGATCCACCCAAGAATCTTCTTCATCTTGAATTATTTCCTCCTTGATGCTCAAATCCTGACATGCACAAACACTGAATGCCGCAAAAATAAACAAAATAGAGAATTTGTGAAGCATATTTGCTCGTGCTAGCCCGGTTCTCGGCGCTACCCACTGATGCAACCGAAAGCGCTGGTGAGTCGCGGCCCGGCTCTCAAGAGAGAGGGCTTTCCACCCAAGGCTAGACTTGAGCCCTATATTTATCGAGCGGGCTTGGTTTTGCGAGCGAAATCCTCTCCTGAACTGATAGACTCAGATTCGCGCATCCGTTTCTCACAAACCTGCATACAACGGGGATAATTTTGAACGAGGCTCATTCCAAGTCTCAACGTCGGCGTCGTGGGGATTCCCGTCGATTGGGTTGGGCGCGGAATGAAACCGCCGCGCAAGTTCTGGCGCATGTTTCTCCGGGGTTCTCCGATATGACGACCGACGGGGATCGATTCGAGCGTGAAGAATGGCAGTGCCGGCGCCGCCGTGGTCGGGGTCTTGTGCGGAAAGCTCCTTTCTCGGAATCGGGAGCTGTCATCTTACTCCCAGAATTCTCGATTATTTTCCTTTCGAGGATCCCGAGCTCACAATTCTCCTTGAGTGAGTGCCGGCGCAGGTCACTAGAGGGCTGGCAGAGATCCGTCACATGATCAGCCCGCCGCAGGCTACAGCTGGCCTCCGACGCACGGATGTCAGCTCTCGGTCCAATATGATCAGGGAACGAGATCGCGCGGCAGAACGTCCGAAGAAATCCGAGAAAATCTCGCGGAGGCCCGGAGGACCGTGAAGTTGGTTCGGAAGCCTCGAATGTCACCCCATCATGTTGGAACTTGCCGCTGATGAGGGAAGGATTCTCCTGAATCGGTTATCGGATTGAGCTAGAGCGCTCCTCGAGACCATCATGACTCCGTAAGCGACTTCTCGAATCGTGGCTCGTGAGTTGTCCAGGTTATAAAGTCCCTGGAGGCTTCCGGCGGCAAGTGGCTCGGGACGCGCGAGAATGAATATGAAAGGTATTCTGCAGAGGGATCCGTATCGCTCAAGGTCGCGGATGGCACCATCCGCGTCCCACCCTCAGTCTCAGGCTTGATGCGGAGGAATCGAATCAGGAATCAGGAACCTGGCTTTCCGTTCATTCGCCCGGCAGAGTCGGCGTATGAGGCCCTAGCGATACCTTTGCTCTGTACGGGGCCATCGAGGCTGCAAGCTCATATATGTATCGGATAACTCGCGGAGAAGTACTCCGTGTGGAGATATTCGTCCTATAGAACTCGAGGTAGTGTCTTCACTTCCTCTCTCGAGTTTTGCTTATTTCCCCGAATCGAGAGACTGACGAGATCCTTCAAAATTCATCTAGATAACACAAAGCGTTCTAAGAAGTCAGGACGGTTTTTGCTCGAGTGTGCCTCGATCAGAAGGAGCTGTTCCTAGGACCGCATCGAGAAAGAGGCACATGGTCGGCGGACGTCGCGAATGCGGAAGCGCCGGGGATAACCCTGAAACTCCAAGGTCCAACCTTGGGGTCCCGAGCACAGACCAACTAATTTATTCCACAGTCTCCCGATTCTCGATGTATTCTTCCCGCCCGATGGGAACCAGACGCACGCACAATTGTGTCAAATCCACGTTCGACGCTTCCGTAATCGCTCGCTCACGAGGGCCGACGTGGACGGAGCGGATCATTTGACCCACAAAAAACAGAATCTATTCCGGCCACTCGAAGCACCAGGACCTACAATGTAAATCGGATGGAGATCCGGGGAAAGGGAACTACGTGAGGGTGGCAGCAGCGGCCGTGGCAGCGGAGAGTGGGAGGCGAAGAGACACCCCGGGGGCACGGACCGAAGGCAGATCCCTGTGTTGGTTGTGTCATAGAGTCTCAAAATGGCGCACTGTTCCCTCGATGCAAGCACTCCATGAACGGAGCGCGCGTAAGGTGCTCGATCGTTTTTGAGAGGTGCACCAAACCGAAATATTTGTAGAAACATCACTGGCTTATTGATCACAGTCGGCAGAAGGCTTTGGAGCTCCCCGATATCGGAAATGTTCTGAGGACGTCTCCGAAGGGCGGTGATCCTGGCAGGAGGGTTTCCATAGTTTGAGTGAGCCTGGAAATTTTTGTTAAACCGCTACAATCGAAGGTAGGTTTCGCGGCTCCGGCTAATTCCACGTTGATGAATCTCAGGGAGGCAGATTGAACACAGCAGCGGGTCGAGAAATATGAGAGAGGATTCGGAGCACTACACGCGACCCGCAACCGAAGTCACATCGTGACTGTGGCCGCGGCTGTTCGAGGCTTCGGTGCAGGCAAGCGAAATTCGTAGAGACCCAGGACGATTTTCGCTGAAATGAGTTGAGGATCGCTGCCTGGGGAGCTGTGACTCTGCTCATCTCTTCGATTAGAAAGATCCAGAAATTCTCGCATTAGGGTGACAAGAAACCGAGCAGACATGCGATCACGTGAATTTATCAATAACCTCAGAGCTGAGGATGGCCAAGTCGATCGGGGGATGCGAACTTTCGTATCAACTTATTGGAAGTCGTCGCGCCTTTTCGCCTTCGTGTTCGTGACTTTGGACCTCAAGGAAAGCTCTCGGAATGCGGAATCGAGCTGTACGTGCGCGACTCCGCTTCGAGTTTCCGAAAAAGCTCTTGATTTCATGGGATGAATGAATATCCCGTCTCGATAGCGTGATAAGGGAAGTACTAAAGTTCGGCACTTATTTGTGCCGCCATACTCTCCGCCGCGAATCGCCGATTCTTCGGTGTAGACAAATTCAGGGCCGAGGTCCCCGGAGCGGGGAATCGGATGCGCATCACCTGGATCCCGACTCAATGACGAGAGATGCTTCACGGACTTCTGAGCTCGTCTGAGTATTTGGAAGGTTTTTCGTTCGAATCCCAACTCGTTCCTGGTCGGGAGAACCCTCCGGATTCCTAGAGAATCGGACCTTGTCTGGATACCCTATGATATTGAAACGTTCCTGATCTGTCGCCCCTCGGACGACCTCGACGGACCAAAACTAGCAACAGAGCCGCGGCTTGTTGACCGGCGCTCACGCGCGGGCCGCTCGGAGTCAGTCGTGGAGAAGTTTCCGCTTTCCAAGAGTGTCTCTCGGTGAGCGCGACTTCGCTCTCTTAGAGGAATGGTGCAAGACTCGTGTCCGAGGATTTACTCCTTGAAGGAGTGCGGGAGAAAGCTCTGGCTCCTGGCTCTCGTTTTGAAGATGCTGCTCCCCTTTATAAGCTCGCTCATCCTCGTTCGTTCCTATAGGAGGGGCAGCCGGATACGGGTTGTCCCATAGAGACTGGGCGCCCCCGCACTCATCGAGACAACGCGAGGCCAGCCGGTGGGAAGCCGATGTGGAGCTCCAAACATTCTCTCATCATGAAGCAGGTCGAACGGTGCCGCCGGCGCCGTTCCATAGGCCAACGAAATCGAACTCCGGCTCATCTACTACAACTCAACACCACAACCATTCGTCGCTTCGCACCTCGAGCCACCTGCCGTCCTCGTCGAATACGCACAATACAGGTTCGTTTCTTCGCGTGAGCGCGGTCCCTTGCCTCTGACTCGTTCTATTTTCTCCTTTCGGAACTGAAATCCGCTCTCCCGCTCCAGCAGGCTCGTGGGACAGGTGGCAATTCTGGGACGTGGATACGGGAACACCTTGTTTCTGGCAAGCAAGAGCGAACAACAGACAGAGGAGCAACTCACTCGCAGCTTCAATTGACATCATCGAAGAAATTGGCAAGACTCCTTCTGACCCCTATGCCTCAGGAGACAACGACCCTTTTAAGGTGAAAGGATCAGGAACCGTGGACGCTGAATCATTTTTTTCTGAAGGAATCGTGAGGGTAGCTGTGGCGCACGATATCCGGCTTTCTGAAGTTTCCCCCTCCCTTTGCAGGTGACTCCCCCGTGCGTAGGACTCGAACTCTTAGATGCGTGGCCGGATCGGCCGCCGCGAACGCTGTGTGCGCACCCTGTTCGGACGTGCGCATCGGTCACGGTGGGGAGCATCTTAGTCGTTGGCTTGCTGGCCGTTGTGTTCTGGTTTTTCTTGGGAGGCGCAGAACTTTTGGAATATCACAAATACAGGAGCATTGATCGTTTGCTGAATGTTTATCCGTCTCCGAAAGGGAGCCAACTTCGGATACACTTCAGGTGCGTTTCGACGGAAGAATTCCTCGGAGCAGTCGAGGAGATGGAAACATCTCGAGCTAATCCTTCGGAATCGCCGATTTCACTAGCGAATCCTCGGGGCTCCTACGCTGTCTTCGTCAGAAATCGATGGAATCTCCGGACTCGGAAGGTCCGAATCGAAACAAGCTGTCTACTCCGTTCTTCCGCGGATATCCTCGACTGCCGTTCGATGAGCTCAGGGGACCCAGGATTTTGAGCTGGGATGGGAGCGACGATCCCCGACTCTCCCGCGGGTTTCGCGTCTGTGAATAAATTTCCCGAAATGGCTCGTAGAGGCGTAGCATCACCTCCTATTACACAGGAGGGACACTTCATTTCCTGTGTGAGAGGAGGGACTCTCCGTCAGTAGACAGCTCAGCCGGTCGCTCCATCGGTCGGCATGTCGGGAATGAGCGCTACGAGGGCCAAGCTTCCCGGATAAAAGCTCTGGAATTCTGAGATTCATAAATTCATGAGACATTCACTCAGTTGTAATGGATGACTAATCTCCGTCGCGACTGACCATCCTCGTCTTACAGACACGGGGCTCGCGTGGGAGACCCTCTTGATTGGCGGCATCTAGTCCAGGAAATAGACGATCTTTTGGAGCTCTACAATCTTGAAACAGCGCTCGCCAACCCCAATTTGACCGACTGCTTCTCAGCTTCGAAATCTTCGACCGAGACCTCCGGCGATCCGACGAAAGCCTGTCTCTTCGACATTCGACAGGTTGAAAGGTAACTCAGCATTCCAGCATTCTGAGGAGGATTAGAAGGATCAGCTCCCGCTCTCGCGGAACTTATTCAGGCATTTTTTTCCGGACAGAGAATGCAGTCGCGAGACCAACTACGGATACGACAAAGGCAGCCCGTGTGTATTTTTGCAATTTTCGGCTGATCCGAATTTCCAACCGACACTTAGCAAAAGATCGGATGTGGTCCCGGTGCAGTGTTCGGGCAACACTCTTCAAGATCAGAAAAACCTGGGTAACTTCACGTATTCGCCGGGTCAGGGCTTCAAGGTCTGTGGATTCCGGGGCTGAATAATGAGAGTATCCATATAGCTCATGTCAGCATCGTATTTATCGGGTCCGCGTTCGAATTACAGATGGTATTCTTCCCGGCTGGACCGAGTCCTCCGTACATGGCCCCGCTCGTAGCAATAAGATTTATGCAACCCGTCTTCGGTGTGGAAATCGGGATCAGCTGCAATATTGACTCGATGCCTTCAGATCCCCAAGAGGGTCTCTCCAGGTCCAACTCTTCAAGGGAATTTGTCGACCACTGGAATCGACGACAAGTACATTTCAACTTGATAATCGAATAATCGTCACTTGAGCCACTTTGAGATTGGGTGACAAGGAGACGGAGTGAGATTCTGCCTGATTTGAAGCTGAGCGAGTAGTTCCTGCGTGATTAGGGACACGCGGCGGGGTGAATATATTCTCGATGCGTTGCGCATCAGGAAGCCCGAATTTAGCACCAGATCTGGACGCTACGATGCAAGAATCCTCCTTTCGAGGCAACAAGGATCCCATCGCTTGCTTCAAACAGAACTCTTGAGTTTCACCGGAGAAGGAACAACTTGGTGCAGTGAATTTGATCATGGGTGAGCCATGGGTGCATGTGTTAATGATGCACGGATGCGTAAAACGTACTTTGTGAGCCACGGCCTCGACCGACCGGACACTCTCCTCCGTGGGTACTCGGTCACCAACTCGGAAATCACTGATGATCTCGACTCCCTCGGATGTCAGGATGAATTTCGTTGTAGTTTGCTGGAAGGGTGTGAAATCCCGTAACGAGAGTTAAACTTGTGGTTTGTAATGTGTTATGCGCAGATGATTGAGAATCAAAAGTTTTCTGCTTGCGAAAGACACCGCGCATTTTCGGCGCGGTTCTGTGATTTTGACAATGCTCGCTACCTAATGAAGCTCAGTGACACTATCCAAGGCATTTAGGATGGACAAGCTCACTTCTATGGATTTCTACGCTGAGAAAGCCATAAGTGTGGCGCTCGTCTTAACGATTTTTACACCAGAAGCATGCTTAATAATGATCGTAATCAAGAGCGGAGATGAGACCACGCTTGTGAGACATGGCGATAAACACCTAGGTTGTGAAGATGATGTGAAACTTATAGCGTCGTTGCTGTATTCGAAGAAGAGTTTTGATCCGAACGTGAGCGACGCAAGATGCGGCTCCCGTGAACAATCGCGCTTGAAAGTGTTGATATTTTCGTCCGTTCATCATGCGATCGACCTCATTAGCGACAAATGCGTGTCCGATGCTCAGCGCTGGTCTTATATAGGATACGGGGCCGGACATTCTGAGCATGAGCGAGAGCGGGAGAGGCTACGTGAAAAATCGCGGAATACTTCTGAGGACCCGGCGTTGGTTGTGAAAACTTCAATTCGGAGGCTTCATCGATATGTATGTAGGTACTTCGAAAATCAGCATCGGCGATCGCCGGTCAGCAGATCCTAGACGAGGAGTGCTTGTACCTACATAAATGTTCGAGAAATGGTTTGTATTGGTTGATTGCGCGAGTGACTATGTATGTAATCATATGACATGTAGCCATCGAATTGCATCAAATACCATACATATTTGTTGGCGGACTATCGATTTCATATGATTGCCGTCTCGGTTGTGGAATATACACGGATTGTAATCTATTCAGGGAATCAATGCGATATTGTCCACACAGCGTGTAGTCAAGCACAAGATGTTGAGCGTAGGCACGTAGCGTGTTGGATTGCTTGAACCTTCAATTATTATCCGCCTCGGACTCGAGGCACTTTTCCGGGGCCACGGCTCCCGTGCGGAAGGATACCGGGTATATACCTTGATAGATCGCCTGTGGCACAATTGCCTGTTTCATCGTTCAAGCTTCCGGGTTTTATCAGTCTTCGGGGGATATCGTTTTCGGATTGTGTGCGCTCATTTTCGCTTCGTTTTGGACGATCTCAACGCACAAGTTGATATCACCATTGAGTTCCGTCAAATGTCTCTGATGCGCGATGGCTCCAAGATCGGACTTGTTGAAACCAGTTGGCTATGCTTGCGTCGCGCCTCGAAATGTTCGAAGGGCTAGCCTCCGTCGATTAAATTTTTTGGAGACTTTCGTGCCCGGATCCCCTCTACCTTGGTGGCTTCTCAAGAAGAAGAGCTCGCTTATTGGATGAGGTACAGCCCTGGGCACCGAGGCTACGTGAATTGAAATGTGTTGGGGAATGAATAGAACGGTGAGCAATCTGTGCCGACTGCAATCGATGTGGTCTTGGCATTCCATCCGTCAACCTATGGTGAATCCATTTTTCCTGGAACTACTGGGTTCTACAAGAGTTCGTGAAGCGGTTGTGGATGAATCTGTGAATTTCTGAAACATTCCCGGATGAAAGCATCAACGATCTCGGGCTCTACAGGAAGGTCCGAGCCGAGTGACAATGGAACCCCATCGCAGTCGGTATTCGTCTTCTTATCTCGAGTGTGTCGAACAACTGAATAAATTATACATATGTTAGCCATCGATGACGTACTTCCTGGATACTCTTCACCAACGTCCCGACTATTGCAATGCTTCCGATCATTAAGAGCTCGCCGATGAGCGGACCGAATCGTAACTCCCCCTTGGACGGTCTGCCTCGAAGAGCGAGGATACGTAGAGAGACCCCGAGTGAGAGATCGGCATCGATTTCTGGATTAGCGGTTGTTTATTGCTCCCGAGGAATCCCGGGGGCAGGCGTAATCAAGGGGGCGCGAAGAAGTCGGTTAGATTAAGAGGCAGCAATCATCTTTTTATTTACAAATAAATTAAAATTATTGTCACGTTCGATATGTACAGCTACTTAATACACATGATGGTCGCTCTCAACCTCACGAACAAAGCTACATTTTGTAGGAGTAGGATCTGGGAGGGAAAATTCCTTTGGAGGATCTGTCCTTGCTTTGATTGGGCTGTTTGAAATGGCCTCTTGTGCGACGGGGGGAATCCTGCTTGACATCGCCCGGTTTGATTCAGGAACGAAGGGAGAATGAGATCCGTTTGTATGCTTGTCGTCGGAATAGAGCCAGATGAAAGCTAGGTACCTCGAGCTTCACGTCGCAGCCGATTCTTCTTCGTCCAGGGGCGCTAACGTTTCCGCCGAGTCGGTGAGATCTTGAACTTCTATATTCTCAACGGTCGAAGGTGGGAGTCTGAACATGCGGAGATCTTTCTCCGATAAAAACGGGGGAAGGACAACAGTCGTAGAATTGAAAAATGAGTTCGGAATGTCTTCGCATCCGTAATCATAGGCATCGAATTCGAAGCCATCTGAAAGGAATTGTGGTGGGTTATCTCCGGAGCCTCGCGCGGCTTTCGACAGTCCCTCATTCCCAGACGGGCTGACGATTCTAGAATAAAGAAGAGTATGGCACTTGGAACTGACTACGGACCTGTCCCGCTGGTCGAGCCGAACTCCGAGCTCGTGCACATGACGGAGTGTCTTTGAAGTTTCGACGGATTTTTCTTACGTAGCTTCTTCCGAACTAAATTGTTCACATCGGCGAGGCTTTCGAGCGATGCAAGAACTGAAGTCTTCTTATTAGTTCTCAGCGGTGACCCTGTCGAGGAGTATATTGCGTCGGCGTTTGCGGTTATCGGTGTCGTCGTTGCTCTCGAAGGAACAGAAATCACGGTGGGAGTGGGTGAGGGCGAAGGACTAGGCGACAGGACCGTCTCCAATGAGTCTCTCGACAGGAGAAGATCCGTTGGTCCCTGCAAGAACCATTATGAGAAGAAATATTCGGCGAAACTTCCAGTGGGAAAGTCCTGATTTACGAACACACCAGGCATGCTTCTCCTCCTATTAACTCGTGCAATAATTTTTTAATTCTAAGTTTACGATTTTAAGAAAAACTCACTTGACCCTCAGCACTTGTCGGGGGGATCGAGAAGACTGAAGGTCTTCTCTGTTTCGAGATGGCTCTCCCTAGAGCCACTCGGTGCACGAGACACAACGTTGCAGTCACAATGAGGACCGATCCCACTACCAAGAGTGCGACTAGATGAAGATAAGGCAATCGGCTGATTTTGTACAACAATCCTATCTGCGCCAGTGCACTGATTTTGCGCGGTTGTAGCTCTTCGTAGAAACTCATGAGAAAATCAACGTCTGGGGAAACTTCAGCAGTTCGCTGAATAAAGTCAACGCGGATAGGGCCGGAGATGGAACGTAGCTCCAACGGCAACTTTCGCTCTTCGCCTCCCGTGATCATGGCCAACATGGTTCCATCGGGTTCGATCCCGTCCCTCACAACAATGTAGAAGCTGTCACGGTCAGCCAATCTTGCCGAGGTCAACCGAACGATGATTGACGAGGCGTTGTGGAAAACAGGTCTCAATAGCCATGAGGTATGGCTCCCGCTTTGGGCGCACTCGCTCGCTCTGAAATACACTGTCGTGTTCTTGAACACCCCGAGGACGCATCCACACGAGCAATAGGTGGCCACCTGCAAGTCAGAAACCTTGTCTCATCGTCCTCAGAGATCTCTGATGCGACTCCATCGAACTATCACGAGCTGATTATTATCGAGAAGGCGACAGAAGGCTCCGAGATGATTTCTCTCCGCTTTTGGGAGTCTTCCACTGACCTGGTTCAAATTGATATCAGGTGGCATGGCAGTTGTACTCGGACACTTCTCAGGCAGATCGCATTCCCTAGACTCTACCTGCTCGCCTTTGCACTTCTTCCTGGAGCAATCGCGATGCCTCATTTGAGTACCGCGACCACAGTTCCCAGTGCAGAAAGTCCAAGACGACCACTCATCCCACATTCCGAATTCAGACGAGTCTGGAATTGCGACCGACGAACTTTATCGCACTAGATACGATTACCCAACCGCGAGAATGACCAGTCGCACGGCGAGAATTCTTCCCACTGAGGAGATGTCTCGGAAAGGAAGGGTAGAGGCAGTCGGCCAGTGCCTGCATTGCCCCGTCGACGGCGCGGAAAAAATTATAACTCTACGCAAGAGCCGTATATTTTTCTTAGTCGTTGGAAATCGAGTTTTACTCACCGTCTCGCACTGCCCGGCAATGCACATCAACGGAGTTCACGGCCCTGTTTTTCGCAAATGTGACATAATGGAAGCAGAACTTGTCGTAGGGTCCATCGAAATGATGACAACTGAGAACAATGGCGTGCCGATCCCTGGAGAGACGTTTCTCCAGAAGGTATTTCCCCTCAGGGTTCTCTTCGTTTATTCCGTAGACTCGGAGTCGATCTTGGTTCCCCGTACACGGTGGGAAGTGATATGCAATGTTGATTCCTGTACGTAGATGATTGAATTGAGGACGGACGAAGAAAAACGAAGCCTATCTCGAAAGTAGGATTGTTTTATATTCCCTCACGAATTGAGATTACGAACCGTGGAAGCAGGTGCCGATGAATTGTTGAGCGACATTGATTCTGTACTTTCCGCTCCACGCGGCTTGGATCGGTTGACTCTTGGCGATTGCCGCGAGTCCTTGCTCACAATCTTCGCAACGGAGCGATACCTTCAGGAGCGGAATCGGAGGAGAATCATACCCATTAGCATGGTACATATTCCAACGTAGCGGCAATTGGTTTGGGGTCGCAGTAGAGAGGAAGCGCGGAACATACATATAAAGGAGGGAGCAGAAGACGAAGGAGTACCTGATAGAACCCGGGTCTGTCGAAATTTTCGCACGAGAATGTAACCTCTTGTTCTTCGATTTCGCGCCACGAGAAAACTCGTTTCGACTCCAAATAGATCTCGTGTAGCCAACTAGAGTTGCCTCCGTCTCCGAGGTAGAGAAGATCGACTTGGAACGTGTAGGTTTCTCTGGGGAAGGAAGAAACTTCTTTGAGATCGCCGAGAGCTACTCATTGATTCCTCGATTCCCCGGAGGGACTGAATGTGTCTGGGATCGGAGGTCATTATAGAATAATGGACTCATATGTATTCGGAAGTTGCGACTCCTGAAGAACTTCAAGCTCAATGCAAGGCATCTAGAGCTTGAGCCTGGGGTGCCCCGAAATGCTTGAATCGGCGAAGTGATCTTCATAGGGAGGCCGTCTCAAAGAGAGATATGCCCGCTACGGAAGTGAACGCCTCGAGTTTGTCGGATGACTTAGACGACCATTCCCGAAAGAACAACATCGTCAACGGCAAAGTTCGTATGGAGTCTCAGCATCGAAAGCCAAAACTTACGTCTTTGCATGCGGCTCCAGGGTGGAAACTTGAAGTGTCCCGGGGCGTCTATACGGCGCCAACGAAACTCCCGTCTCGAGCGCATGCTGCTGCGACGGGCATAATGAATGGATGAATGGAAGGATATCCATCGGACAAGAGGGTGGGGTAGTCGAGCGGAGGAGACCGTTCCACCGACCCTTTAAGCGAACGATCGACCCGCTCCTCTGCTGCCTGACTTGGGGAAACCTGACCGAAAATGAAGGGTCTCTCGCCATCAGTTCTAACGATGGTAGCCAACGGCGAGGAAAGAATTCCCCGGAATAGGGAGTCATTCCTCTGGGGAATCCACTTGCGATGACAGCACATTGGCTCTCCGCTTGATTTCAACGCGACCATGGAAACACATGAGGGTATTCCAAATGAACGAGAAGCAGATGTGAACACCTTGCGAGAAAGATGGCTAGACCCCACTCTCCTGAGATGGATGGGAGCCATCCCAGGACTTATGTTCTAGAGGATGCTCTGGTTTCAAATGATTCGGCTATACCGCAAGAACGGAAAAGCACTTGCGGTTGTTCTATAGCTCGCGAGCTAGGCGCGGAGACCCCAACGCTCGGTTTACTTCGAGGGGTCGAATTTTGGGTGATGGAAGGGAGTCCCACCTTAGATACAGGCAGGAATTGAAGGATACAGCTGCTTATTGTGCTGACGTATTCAACCACGGACCAAATAAACTCTCGCTCTGCGCTCTCGAGCTGTGGGCGGAACAACGTCTACTGAATGTAATTAGTAATTAGATTCCTCCCATGGCTTCCGCTCTTGTCGGTGAGAGCCGCGGCGGCTGAATCATTATTTCGAGGGACGTCGCGTTTAGGAGAATCAGCAACAGCGAACCTTCTTCCGCTCTCAAGTGCACATATCTGTCGCCTAGCAGTCTCGTTTCCTCGCTTGCCTGCTTGACCGTGCGTTAAAGAGTTGGTTGCGAATGTCAAATTTGGCAAGAGAGCCGGCGGGAAGTTACGGCTGCAATTTAGACCAGTAGCTATGTCCAGTGCTACTCCGAGCGGCGGAAAGTCCGGGAGCTTCGAGGAGAGTCGCGCAATGGAATCGAGAAGACGACGGGAGACTGGGAGGAGGGGTCGAGCAGCCCGAGGAGATTGTAGACATTTCACGAGGATGGAACGCAAGGAGTCGAGAGACACGGAACGAGAAATTCCCATTCCGTCGTTCGTTTCTCAGGAAGCTATTGGAGCGAAAGCGCAAATGTCTCTCGAGTCCTGAGACGCTGTCATCGCTTGCCGCTATTCCGACATCGCTCGACGGCTGATCCATCCGAGCGTCCGCTTTTCCCCCTCCAAACGTCCGTCCGCCGGTCAAGAGCAGAGCCAGGTGGAACTGGCCAGCGCTTCTTAATGGGACGACGGAAAAACTCGATTCTATCGCTCTGAGGTCTCAACTGGCTGCTGTCCGACTTTTCCCGTTCGCCTTTCTTTCTGCGGTCTTTGTCGTCTTAGGATACAGAACCCGACACGGAGAATGGAGTCGTCAATTGTTCTGCAGGAAGAGATGTCCCCGCTCAATTTTCCTAAGACGACCTCTCAACAGCAGAGCGCGATGAGGTTTCTTATGGTGTGTATTGGAATCCGGGGCCGAAAAGAGGAAATGCCTCTCCCGGCGGAGCATCCTCAAAGGCAAAATACAGCGTCGTGGCAGACTGCATGATTTACGGCCATTCCTGTGTCTGAGGGAGGCTGGAACGCACGCACGTACGTACGGACGGTCAGTCCAGGTCCACGAGGTCGTCCAGTGCTCTTAGCTAACGGCGAGGAGAAACTGGGGAGGAAGAGCTGCGTCCGACACGGCATTGGTTCGTCCCGAAAGCGTGGAGAACAAGTGTTCCAAATCAAATATCGCTCTCAACCGAGTTGACTGGCTACAGCGGGAACCATCATCGATGTTGCCAAATTGAAGACGCAGCTTGTTCCGCACTCACGCTTAGTCAGGGATCCTTTCGCACTTCAATTCGAATCCATCGGACGTAGAAGCCATGTCAGCAGGAAGGCTAGGCAGCCGAAGAATTGTGGCTCGACGGAGCCAACCGCCACGGGGAGGAGAAAACACCTCAACTTGAGCGATTAGTCGGCAGAGCCGATTCAATTGGAGAGTGGTCATTGGAACAAGGTGACTCCCGCTGGGCATCGGGTTCAGTTCTGAGTGAGACTCGTCATCGGAAACAACTCCGTTGTTCCTCAAAAATCGAGAAGATCCTCCTGAAAATACTTTGCAACCGTTCTCTCTTGATTTGCCGATATACTTCAGCCAGAGAAACCTCTCGACGCAATCTCATGTATTTCTGTTCTCACTAGCGTAGGGGCTTACACGTATTCCGAACCCTCTTACCAAGAGAACCATTTGGAGGTTTATGCACACGTTTATGCAGATCTATTCTATCGCATCGGTTTCTGATCATGAGAAGAAAGAGGATCGTCCCCGGTCCGATATCGGGGGTTGTTGCTCGAAGCCCCCCGTCTGAATCATCCGAGAACGATTCTCTCCCCGCTTGAACTGGGCGAGAAATGCTTGAGCTATCACTCACCTGTGGAAGGGCGGGCACTTCTTGTCGGGAAGCTCGAAAGTTACCGCGGCATCCGAGGAATGAGTCTCGATGAGAAGGGGAACGTGGACTACGACCGAGGGCCACTCTACAACCGTGTCGTATCTCGACCGAGCAAGAACTGTTTCGTTCGAACGTGAAATCAGCTCGAGGGTGTAGTTCCCGGCACGGTGGATCATGCCGCACGGTATGATGACGCTCCCGGATGGCGTGGACGGCGGAATTGACGTTGTTGATGTCTTGCCTGAAATCGAATCGATTTGAGAGGGAGCGCTGCGGCAGACGACGTTTCGCGGGGCTGTGAGATTTTCCCTTACACTACATATGATCGTGTGTTGAATCATCTAATACTGGGATGGACGGCCTAGGGGAATCGAGGGCGGAATTCATTCTTGCGCACTTCGACCTCAGCGACACCGCGGACGATTGCCGGAAAACCTCCTCAGAGCCCTAACCATCGGAGTCGGAGTCGGGACCAGAGACCACTTCGATGAGCATTGTCGATGCATTGCAGCAACTTCTCCCGACCACTTTGAGGGTGAAGCTGATGGAATACAAAGAGGGAGATAAGGGGAGAGAGGACCAGAGTCTTTTACAGCCTTTTTCCATTCGATGCTGACGCTTCGCCATTCTGTCGGTTCGTTCCCAGGTCGTTTGTTATGTAGTGAGATCTAGTGTGGTGCTGGAGGGAAAAAGAGAATTCGGAGAAAGAAGGCCCCTTTCCGGAGGAACGGCTTTATCCGCTGCAGAACAAGTGTTCCGAAGGGATCAAAGGAGGATTAGCATCATAATAAGTGACAGAGGTTCCCGCTACCTCATAATGACTTGAACTCCCCTGATCTCAACTGCGAGGACGGATGGAGTTTTCCAGAGAAATCTCGCGGTGGGTTCGTCCGTCTGAATGACGCAGACAAAAGCCTCGGAGAGGATACTAAAACGATATGGAGATTTCTCCTGATCTGACGACGAGTCTCCGGAGGGCTCTGGCGTCTGATCAGCTCACCAGCCGCTCGGCGGACTAACCGAACAATCGACCGACCGAGCAAGCCACCAGCCAAGCGACTCATCGCTCGCTCTCTCTTGTGGAACGGCTCTGGGAGAGGAAAGAAAAGTTTGTATCATCCATGGTCTGTCTCGTTTTTCGGCCAAACTCTTTAGAGTCATTGAGGGCCAATGAGTCGTGGCAAGCCTTTTGAGCGAATGCTGCAGCTGCCGTCGGTAGCTGCTGACGTCCTTGCTTCATGAGAGTGAAAAACAAAGAGAGAGCGAGCAGTCGTCGACGGAGCAGAAAAGACACACTGTCTTTCCTTTCGTCGGAGCACTATCTCTTCACATTCCGAGCCCTCGGACGCGGACATGGACATCGTCTCTCCGGATCATGGAGAGATACGGCGGGCGGAGGTGCAAGGTCACGCATTCAGCTCACACCACATTCATGCATTCACTCAAGAATTGAGGTCAGACACCTGACTTCTGGAAGTCTGACAAGCGCGCAGAGCGGCGGTGATGATCCCTTTGTTTCACTCAAAACTTCTCCCCTACATTTCAACGTTCGTGGGATCTCGCTCGTGGAGGCGGCGGACTCTTCGAATCAGAAATATCTCCTCTTTTTATCAGTACAGCTGTATCACTTAGTAAAGCTCTTGGCAGGCTGACATAGACCATGGAGACTCCAGCGGATACACGCGCACGTCCGACAGTTCTCCTTGAAGATTGACGTCCCGTTTTTCTCGGGGCCCGTCTTGCTTCCCTTGGAGGAAGAAAGCTCTCGTCTTCAATTCCGACGGCGATCTCTCACTCCATGGAAAGCAAGGTGTGTACGGGTCGTTATCAGCATGAATGTTGGAATGCTCCCCTAGGTACATCGAGGGTTCGGTCGAGAGCTGTGAACTACATCGAATATCGAACTACGCTAAATTCAAAGCCCCGACGATCAAGAATCCTCGCATTTCGAGGAAGAGACAGGAAGAGGTCACTCCTATATAGTGCTGCCATTTCGTCACCCTTTCCTCAGATCACAATAGAGAGTCATTTCACTCTCAATGAAACAATTAGCGCTCGGTCCGTTTCCCCCAGCCGCGGAGCCGTCGACTATGCACCTCCTCGTATTATGTACAGCCCTCTCGTCTCCGGCACAGCAGCGAGCTCTGCTATCATACATTCGACACCAATACTAGCAGGTACACTACACGGCTCGTTGACTTGGAGCAAACGAGCCTTGTCCGGAAATGTCATTCTTGAGTCAAAGGTGAGGGAGGACTGCGAAGAGCTGTGATCGGTCAGACGCAGCCTGCTAAAAATCCCCCGGGCGGATTCGACGACTTCGCTACATCACTGAGTGGTAGCTAATCACTGCCTTAGATTGGAATTACTTCGAATGCGTCATTTGATCGAATATTTATCGTTCCTGCTCTCGGGAACCGCTGATGATGTTGTGACGCTCGACATTACCAGGACTCTCTTTCACCCTCAGAATCAGAGAAGCGCAGTATCGCCGACCTTAGTGCAGGATTCGAGGTCGTGGAACTTGATTCTCGGTCTTCCCTCGTAGATTCTCGTTCTCAACACGACAGCACAGCGGTGCCCCTGAGCAAACTTGTTGAGATTTAACTCATGCGCGCTTTCGGAGAGGTAAGGTTCCGTGAAGCGATCTGTCTACGTCGGAACTTCTAGCTTCCAGGCTCAGTTTGATGGCCCCGGCTCCAAGCGAGGAACAATGGAGGTACTGATGTGGCCTGCCACTCAACTGCTGATGAAATTGAAAGCTCGCCGGATGAGCATACGACCCAAGAGAGGGCGATCCTCGGCGGCAGCGAAGTTCCCCGAGCCGACTCATGAATACCTCGCAAACCGAGCGGGCAGACCGGGATGCCCGACCGACAAGATGAGGACCAAAAGCAGCGGACGCTTTCTCGAAGAGCGGCGCGATATGGTAATCGAGCCTTTTCTGTAGCGAAACGGAGCCCACGACTCAATAATTCATTGCTCACTGCATATATTTATTCAGTCGCCACCAATATCCCTTTGTTCGGGAACACCTCCACACAACGGCGACAACAGCGCCGACGTCAACAACAACAGTGCTAGCGTCTGCATGTAGGACCTTTTTTGCGGAATATTCCGACTATATCCGGGATTATGAAGTCTGTTGCTGCCACGAGCGACTTCTTCCGAACCTGACCTATCGTATTACGAACGTTGCGGCGGCTATCGCGAGAAGTATATTCGGTTTCCGATCCGGAGTGCTCCGACAGCGCCACCGTAAAAAAAGATCGTGACCGAGCAGCCTCGGAGGGGAGCATACAGGGATGGAAGAAAACAAGTCCGACATCGCGGGAGCTCCGAAAAGGAGAAACCTTAAAAATCCTGAAAACTCTCACTCGTATTCCTCGAGGCCTCGATCGGTTCTATGTTTGGGGAGAGGACCCACAAGTCTATGCGAAACCCTTCGAATCATCGGTAGAGGGGGCAGGGGGCTCGCGGGTCGATATTGAGAGTTGCCGGAGACCGTGTTTTAGCTCCGCCGAGGGGGAGCCATCTCTGTTCTAGTGAGATGACGAGACGACGACCTCGAAGAGCTCTGTCAGGGAACGGTCTGACCTCCGCGGCGAGTAGACATCGTTAAAGCGGATTCCGCCTCACTCGAGAGGGAGTTAGCGTGAGCATCGACGCGCTCCGCTGCAATATACACGTCGCTGCTGACATCTCCGAGGTAATTCGCGGCTGAGCATCGACAATCGGTCGCTTGGTCATCGGAGACTCGAACCTAACTTCAAACTTCCCTGCATGACCCTCGAATACCAGCGGTGCGCTAAGGAAGCGGTTGTGACGGTTTCCGATGTTTCCGGGAACTATTCACCGCAGACGCCGCTGCGAAATGAGTCGGCTGATCGTTTTCCATTTGGAAATGCAGGACCCGCGATGCTCTCAGAAATTGGTAGATCATTGAACTCAAGGGAATGTCATCGCCTTGCGAAACAAAAGAGCGAGCGCAGAGGTAGGAGTGTGAGGGTATTCATCGTGCCTCTATACTATCTCAGGATAACATTAGGGGCTCACAAGCTCTAGGCTTCAGAAGTTCTCCCTGTTCGTTCCGGGATTGAGAGCAAACGAAGTGACAACATCTCATTGACTAGCTTGCGTGACGACATTACGGCCCACTTAGTTGAGGTAGTGACAGACGGATTGGTCAAAATGAAGACAAAGCAGCGTTTCCAGGGCAGCGACGTTAATACAATCTGCATGCCTACGCAATCACTACGGTACAGTTGTAAGCCGACCATAGCCGACGAGTCATTATCTAGCCGCTAACGGAAGTCCATGTCGATACAACAAGCAGATACAAGAAGGATATTTGCTGCGACCAAGTCTAACCAACCACCGGGCCGTCCTTTCTCCCTGGCCTTTCTTTTTCTCCTATTTCCTTTTCTTTTGCTGTCGTACACGATGTCGATTGCCCCCCGGAGATCCCTTGCTGATCCCCATTTGCGGTCCCTGGACAACCCCTCAGCCCCTCTGCCGTCGTCAATGTCCCCGAGCTCTCTACAGTCGTTCTGTCGAACAGCCGCCTTGCCGTCGACCATGACGACGGAGCAGACAGAGAGCGCCTTCAAAGCCGCAGAAGCGGAAGAAATGAGCTGCTAACTCTTGAGACAGTCGTAATTTCCGAGCGTCGACATTTTCAAACTTTGTTGACGTTCTCTGCGGGTGTCTTCTCCAGAACCCCTATCTGCCGAGCGGCAATCAAGTTCGTTGACCTACGTTTCCTACGTTTCAGTCGTCATCGTTGTCGTCTGTCCTCGCCGTCTTTGACCGCTGTCCAGGAAGGCCTCCCTAAGCGAGGCAAGGTCGCGTCCCTTCGAAGAACGTATCACCAAGTTACCTTCATAAACCGATATACATAGCCATCGAGATAACTCCGAATCATGCTTGAACGGAGCAAGTTTGTTCTCTTCTGGTTAATGAAGATTTTACAGCGGTGTCTCGGGAGCGTCTCTCCGGAATTGGGTCCAGTCGGTCGAATCGAGGAGTGAATGTCTCACGCTGATTGAGTGAGATCGGGCTGGGTTTTGTAATTCAAATCATAACAATGGGCGAGCTTCCGCCGGACTTCCACCTTCGCAGGTCGATAACGCAATCAGTCGATAAACTTAATGAATGCCTGTACCGCGCGGCGACGTACGCCGCTCGGAGACGTTGAGCAATCGGGCCGCTTCGGAGCCCCCAGCGCCGCTATCGTTCCGCTGGAGAACCTTCATGAGGGTTCCAGATCAGAACTCGCCTCCCGCAGATGAAATTGAACCACTCGTGTGATAAAAGTTTGAAGTTTTTCAGAAGCGGCAGTATTTCTCATCGATCGAAGAGAGCGAATCACTCCGTGAGTTATGTGCAGGGACTAATTCTGTCGGTGAGAAGTTCTCAACGTCTGTCGAGCGTAGTCTGTCCTGTTGTCTGGATCACAATCCGGGGATGTCTCCCTTTGCACGATTAATCGGGGGTTCACATGAGACCTGTCCCAAGAAGCGGTTTCACATCATCTGGAAGCTCGCAGGTGCATGAAGGGGAAAGGAATTCCCAAGGAGACGATCCAGGTTCCCTTCAAGAATCTCTCGATCGCGAGAGCCGCTCGGTCATCGTCGCCTCCGAACAAGAGAGCGCATGTGAATGCTTTGTCTGCGAGGTCACGATCAGGTATGAGCAAACTCCCCTAACTATTAATAGACCCGTACTAGTTCGCAGCAGCACACCAAGAGGATCACGGATTAGTCACGAAAGCTCCTCCGGGTTTATGGCCACGGGGGAGCCGACCGGAGTCAGCGGACCGCTGCTCACAGCACAAACATCGGGACTTTATGGAGCTCCCCCTCATTTGCTGCCGCTGCTCACGACTAGCGCACGGGCTGATAACCCAAGTGTGGGGTGGTTCATGACTGGGTTTCACCCTCACCCGAAACCCCTCACGGTCCCACCTGACCAACAGCAATCCGCCAGTGGGTTTTTGATGCGAATGCGGCGAGTCCAACGAGCACCTGGTACGCTTTCCGATTGCGTTTATACATATCGGAGCGCGCTTGCCCTCATCTGAGTTGAATGTTACACGATCAACGTATTACGGAAATCGAAAGCACCGGTGTGACCGCGAACAAGAGAACGTATCAGAATGAGCCCTTGGACAGCTCGCTCACCCTGCGATTTGGGTCCATAGACATGTCGCATGTTGAAACAAAATACCTCCGGTTTTGAGCAGCAACATTGAGCTCTGGAAACCATTGATAGCCGCTCGGAATGGCAATACTTCCCAAGTATCGTAGGTACAGTAGGAGGAAAGTGTGACCGCATTATGACGGTGGCCGTACATCGTCGAGATGGAAACCTTGTCGCTGCACTTGGTTCGGGTCAGATCTTACTGAGCGAAAACGGAGAGCGGCTCAATCGCATGCTCTCGATTCGACTGCGGTCTGCTATGCGAAACCCCCAGATAACGCCCGGCTCGGTGGACGCCATCTAGCAATTGAGTTTTGCTCCGGTGATCGTCGTCGGGGTGTTTCGTGCGTTGACCAGCGGGTCGGTTTGTCGGTCTGAGCCACCCACCCCTCGGCCACCCATTCACTCGACAAAGATATGGTGGCTAAAAGAGAGCCCCGACCTTCCTTTGCTCCAGATAAGCTACAACGCCGGTGCGATGTAAGCGGAATGTATGTAGTACACGGGCACGGGTTGAGAATAGCAGTCGCGCACGACAGCCGAACTGACCTCTCATTTTATGGCGAACTACCGAGATCCCTTCTCTATGACCACCCAAACAGGAGAGCGGACTCTTTGAGACGCCCGCTCGAGACGTCCGCCGAAAGGAGACCGACGAATAGACTACGATGAAAGAACACCGGATATATCCAGCATGAAACCTCTCCCAATGCGGGCTGTAGGATGAAGTGCTGTCTTTCATTCTTCGGGAATATTCTCCGAATGTAGACCAGGCGGTTCCGAGGGTCGAGGATCAGTCAAGGAAGCTCGCGGTCCGGGCCTGGCTCGTTGCGCGGCGATGTGTTTCGCGAGCTCTGATTCGGAGACGCCAGGAAGCCGATGGCTGCGATGATCGTGGCATCATAAGGCGAAGGAAATTTTCCTCAAGCTCAAAACAACGAGGCCGATCCGGGACCCTCTTCTAAATTGGAGCGTTTGCCCCGAGAGCAAACGGCCTGGACGGCCGACGGAATCTCTCGACAACTTTTTTCGTGGGTAACTTGGGGAGTTCCCTCTCCGCCGTTGTGCGAAATTCGCACGTTAAATACGTGAGATTACAGGAGCGCACCACATCCTCGTGCAAGAGTCAAGTGTAGACGGCGAAAACGTTCGTTTACTCGCGAGCGGCGCCGTCGCGGTTCATTTCCGCGCCTTTCCTCGAGGGCCGTAGCCGCAAAACTCCGGATGAGTGAACTAAACGAGTGAGGACAGGGCTTTCGATCGAGTGAGATGAAAAAGCAGTTTGGCTTGCTGATGAGTCACAGATCGCGTGCCATCAGCCGCTGGTGGTTCTCTATTCGGAGCCCCCCACCTCGACCGCTCTCCGCACACTAGCCTCCTCCGGCTGCGGAGTTTGACAATGCCTGGCGCCCACTCGAGTCTGTTGCCCACAGCGCATTTCAGCTCTCTTTTTGTCTTCGCGGACGAGTAAACCAGCTTTAGAAGCATTTCGTGTGAATTTTATTGTTCGCAATCTCGACCGCTGACATTCGCGAAGTGCGAATCACGAAGTCGGTAGCAGGCAGGATACACGATCCAATGCCTGCGATATCGATAGCATCCGAGGTTTCACGAATATTTGATAAATTGTTCATTTGAGCTGCTCAGCGGAGCTATTCGCGAGCTTCATGCACCGTCGGCGAGAGCGGTCGCCGTCGAAAGTGCAGACTCCAATCCGAGTACTGGGGTGACTGCTATCTATAACATACAACACACGGAGCGAGTCTAATATGGAATCATGTTCGGACGTTGTCGTGTTCCCTAAAAGCTATCACGGCGTTTCCCGATCCCGGCTCCGCCGCCGTCGCCGGCGCTATACGCAGCAGGAAGCGACAGAGCTCCCTTATCTGATTCCGTGTTTACCAATCTAATCTTCTGCTCTACCTCACTCGACGTCGAACCTGCGTTCGCGGCGAAAAGGGCATCCGTTCCACGTAACAGCATCATCATGCAGCCCCTAGACTTCAAAGAATCGAGCTCACTGGCGGGTTGGCAGTCAAGGCCAATATCGATTCATAGTATATCCGACTCTATCGTGATTCCGACGCCGACGCCTGAATGGATGGATTGGAATGGCTCGCGTGCACGGTCCCCGGAACCCTTGAATCCTGGATTCCCAGAATTATCAGTACGATGGCAGAGGGTCTGAAACTCCGAAAATCGAAGATCCTGCTCGGGAATTTCCACTGAATGAGCGCTTGAGAATCTGCACTGCTCCCGATGAGTGGCGGAAGGTGGGAAGCGATGACCCTCCCGCCCGAGCAGTGCCCCTCAATCCTCGCGGAAAGTACGGTTTCAGACTTCAGACCAGCGAGGCATTCGGATCTCCAGCTGGCGTCGCGATCCACAGTCTCTGCTGCGATATTGTTGTTTGTGCTTGTGTTGTAAGCCGGGGCCATTGTTCTTTTGCGAGTTAATGACCGGGTCTCGTATCTCCTCAGGCTTACTCTGTGCTAGAAGAAAATGGACATCCCCTTTCTGTCCCGCGAATTCGCGACTCCCATGATAATTCAGTCCTAGCAGGATAATTCCGCGAACCTAGCTGTTGCAATACGTTGCGTTCGTGAACGGATGCTTCCAAGATCGACCGTATACGTGCTCGTATATGAATGCGGGTATGCATGCATGCTTCTCAAGCAGTATGCGGAGTCGCAACGAAGGAGTCTCTTACCACTCTTGTCCACGACCCGAGCCAATAGTGCGTCGGTGTTGTTGTGAGGAACGGTGAAGAAGACGGTCATGTCAGTAGATAAAGCCACGTATCGTTCGGGTCCAGTTATGTAGAAATCCAGGGAATCATCATCGGCTAGTGCTGAGGGGTTTATGTCGGGAGGGGCCGTCCGGAAAGAACAGCTCACAGCCCCGCACAGCAGTAGCACCTTGAATCCGATGTCCATGTCGATGTCAGGTTGTCAACGGGGAGAATCTGGAAGGGATTAAGTGAATTAAGTACATGACGATCGTCTGCTTCTCCTCTTTTCCGGGAGATTGGTTTGCTCGGCTGGGAGCACCTTCCCGATTGAGATATCCATGGGGAAGCTTCCAGCTCTCAGCAAATAAAGCTCTCGGTAAAATGCTTCGCGTGCTGATGAACGTCTGCTGGAATAGCGGAGCTGCTAAGCAATTGCGTACACACCCAGGACATCGTCGTGGGGAATCGAGACTGCTCAGTGATTCCCTCTTTGTACTGAGTACAACTCTGTCGACGGAGAAAGCGTTTCGTTATCAACGATCGTTAGTCGATTGTGCCGTCTCTCCGTGCATGATTAATATCCTTCGAAAGCGTATACGGATCACGTTTCGGCTCCGTATGCGATGGAGTATCAATTGGCTCGCTCGCGAGTTAGCTGGTACAGTCACTTCGAGTTAGTTTCGCATCGCACAAATTCCAATCGAGTCGATTTCTGCACACGTACGTACATACATCGAGACGGTGCACGAATTGGATTGTGGAAAAATCAGCGGGTTTCGGGGTGGTCTCCAAAACTTCCGATCATTTGCAGTGTTCATGATGGCCGATGTTCTCCATCTGCTCTCTCGTTCGTCCAAATGTCAGCCCGCACCCGGAGCCGGCATATCTCAAATCGCGCACCGACGCGACGGTCTAATTGAGAATGTTCTAATTGCCCGAAGACCGTCTGTCCTCATCGACGACCGGGACCATCAATGCCCCCAGCGTCCGCATGTAGGGCACGCAACACCGCAACTGGGACATCAGCCCGGACCAATCAATCCAGGGGAATTCTATGCTTCTCCCAGCTACGTTCCATCGTAGCGGTGCGACGACCGGCCGCTGGCGAGCCGGCAGGTAGGGAGGCGCTATTGCAAAGCATATTTCAAACGGGCGGTAGCAGCTTTTTCTTTCCGCATACAAATCATATATCATCGCTCGCTCGTTGTTCGCTCCCTCGACTCGCAAGTCCCGGCACTCTCCTACACGAAGGATCTTTGGGGAAAAAAATCCCCGTTTTCTCTCAAAACCCTCCCGTTAAGCTCCTCGATGTCGACGGATGGGCAGACAGGCAAGCAGGCGGACGGACGGACGGACGGACGGACGGACGGACGGACGGACGGACGGACGGACGGACGGACGGACGGACGGACGAGTTTGCAGTCGAACAGGCGCGCGAGCGGACCGGAGGTGGGCGAAGGAGCACGCAGCCAGTGAACATCTTCTGGCGTTGGAACAACGAAGGGAACAGGCCGATGAGGACGAGAAAACGCAAGCTCTGGCTTAAAATCCCTCGACAAGCATAAGTCGAAGCGTTTCGTTCGCAGTGACAGGGTCAGAAAACTGGTTTTCTCATCGTCCGCGAAACGCGCTCCTCCGCATCCAGTAGCATGAGCTCAGACCTCGTTCGGATCCCTGGTTTTCCGGACCAGGAGTTTCTATTTCGCCTCCGTTTCGGATCGAGGAACAAGTTTCGGGAATCCACAGCGTCGAAGCGAAAGGATTCGACCTGAACCCCTGTATAAAACAGAGCGAGAACAAACACATAAGTAGGTTTGGCGGACAGAGTTCATGGAGCTCGGTTTTTACCGCTGCGGCGTCTCTCGCGGATGCTGGCGTGGCTTAGAAGTGGTGTAGAAGAAGCGCGTCCACTTGCGCTCGTTGCGATTACGAGGAAGGACCCATTTTTGTCCCCGTTCGAGCAAATGGCTCCCGGCACGCCATCTCTCCGCAGCCTGATCAATGCCGCTCGCAAGCGTACAAGAAAGACGATGATAAGAGACGGGATGGATGGTCATCAGGAGAAGGGGAGGTATTGGGCAGGGGCGAATAGTGAAGTAAACTAAGTTCGGGACCTGAGCCTCGTTGGACCATTTCCACTAATTGTCAACCGACCGCGACCACCGATTCTGACCAAGGTCCACGGGCGCGAGCTCGACTTCCGAGAATCCTTACGGGAGTCCGTCCCCTGAGTCCAGACCAATGACAGCTGCCGCCGCTATGGCTGCTGCCGCAACCGCAACCGACACGCACGGCGTTACGCTTTCGGGAACGCGACCCGTCAAAGCGTCGCCAAAGGCTCTGAGCTTCATCCTCGGTTGTCTTCTCGGTGCTCTTGCTCGTAATGAACAGGCTTGAGCAACATTGTCGAAGGTCACGAACTCCATTTCAAGGTCCGCATATCTCGAGCTTGGATTCGCAGTGCGTGCGAGCGGAGAACGATGCGCGTCGAATATTCTTGGCCCTTCTTGTCTTTCCCGCATAAGAACATCTGAAGCGCCTTTTCCCTCGGTCGTTGTCTCCCTCGCTCTTGGATTCCAGTTTATCATCGTCGAGTGAGTCAACTCTTCTCGAGTACGGGAGGAAATTGGGGGAAAATCTAAGTAAGAGCGAGACGGAGGAGAGTGTCGCTCCGCTTTTCCGCCATCGCAGCGAGAGAGTGAGCGATCGACCGATACCGCCGGATGAATGTGTGGCAAGAGGACGCTCGGAAATTCCGGTAATGTCCTGAGCAGCTTCTCGGAAGCCTTGCCCGCGGTTCCACGAAGCCCTGCGGGCGCCTCCGAATCAAGAACGAGAATAATGTGACCCATCATCAAGCATTGTCCGTCGGAGAGGATCGAGTACCTTACAGTCTGACTGGAACTGGGCCGAGCGCTCCGCTAGATTTTTTTCCGTCTCGTCATCCAGAGAATTCATGTTCCAGGGATCCGTAAATCGGATCCGAACGATGCGAGATATGAGCGCGGGGCTCATTCTGCTGCTCTCGCTAAATAAAAGAACAGCCAGTATGTCACGCGCTGGCGCCCGGTTTCTCGTTTCAGGTCACGCCTCCTCTTTGTTGCTGCTATTAAGTGGGTAGGATGGATAGACGAATTTGCTTCACGCGCGTCCGATCCGGGAATTTTCGAGCGGTCGTCATAATTAAAACAAATCAACGAATTACGTCTACTGCTGCGGCGAGGGAATTCGGCAGCAGTGCTTCTACGTACCTACGTACATTCAATCGTTTCGCCATTTGCGTACGGTGACAACCTTCAACTCGGTCGATGACTTTCGACAACCTCGACCTTGACTCTGACGGCGATCTGTTTCCAACCAACCGATACCGTGTACGGCACTATCAGTCACAGAATACGTAATAGTGGCGTCACGCGGGCACGTTAGCTCAATTATCTACCTCGGCACCGTATTCCGTTGTGTTGGAGCGCGCACCGTAGCCTATCTCGATGCATAAATTTAAAAACGAGGAACTATTAGGTTGAAGAGTTCCAAAGTGGCGAATCTCCAGCGACCGATACATCACGCCGTAAATTTGGGGAGTGAGGTGCACGTTGGCTTGCTCATTCTGTCGACGTGGCGGCTCCGTCTCACTCGGTCATTTCCTTGCACCCGGAGGAACTTCCGCACGTCTACATCGAGTAATGAGTGAACCTGCGACGGAGCCTCTGAAAGCCAGCGCCTCTGGAGCGGAGCTCATCGATTCTCGAAGAAAAATGAATCTCCTCGTGAACAATCGGATTAGGAGCTCCGTCAACGCACAAGGTTCCCGCGGAATCAAGTTGCGTCTACAGTAGAAGCAGCCCAAGCTACCCGAAGTCTGGCCGTGCCGCTATCCCTTGAGACATACGCGCGCTGAAGGCATGCGTGAAATGGATACACGGACACGTAATTGTGAGCCGGATAAGTAGACGTGCTGCATGTCTCGAGGCGACTCATTCGGGTGTCTTCACCCGAGCTCGCGCGAAGGTATGCAGACTAATACAAACATACAGTCACACTAACACATCCAGCAGGAGAATAAATTTACATGTGAACGCGAGCTAGCAGAGCTGCATGTAAACGAGTAGGAGGAGGTGGCATCGTCCCTTTCAACTCATGGCGGCGCCTAGTGTCAATCGGCACCACCTTCTCCGAGCCCTGGTGGATCATTTTGAAACACTTCGTATGATATGTTGCATCCTCCGGTGCCGCTCGATCGTATCACCGATAAGGGTCCATCATCGTATATCTGAGAGGACGAGCAAAAGCGTACGAACAAAAGAGTTCCGCTTCGTGCGAGGTCGTTCATGTACAGTCCTCGACATCATTGTTTGCCATTCTCGATTTCCGTCCTTCTCATGTTCCCAGCACGCCCAGGACAGCTGATCTTCGAGAGGCTCATTGCCGATGCTCGGCTAAAAAAAAGTGAGCGTGGCAGAAGTTTTTATGGATTGTGCGCTGATTTTTTTGGATTATGATTTCCAAATTTCGCGGATCTGCGGACCTCGCGAGTCACCTCCGATCTTGGAAAATCGGATCGTAGGACCCCATGGGTCCCGGTTCATTGAATTTGATGCATGGAGACCGTAAATGGCGATGAATAAGGAACCTTCGTTTTCAGCGCCGCTGCTCGACATTGGAGGGCTGTTAGTAGGTTTACCTATCACGAGAAGGAGCGTATGAGCGGATTCACCCGAAATTCCCTCGCTAATTCTCTGAGTTACGTTCCTGATGAATAGAAGTTATGTGCGATCGTATTCACCAAGCTCTCCCATAGCATACTATGAGAGCTCTGCTCGCGATCCTGGGGGCTTTTGCTCGGATGCGGTGTCGACTTCTCACTGAATTCAAGAGTTTCAGAGTTCCGCTGCGGTTCTCAGCGCGTTCCTCGCTGGAGATCTTGCTGAATAGGTGAAGTGTGCGTCTGAACCTGCGTACAGGTCCGTTCCATGGAAAGCAACATCGCAAACTTTTTGGGGGAGTCCCCTCCGCGTTCCGCTAGATTGCCTCGGCAAGTTTCTTCGGAACTAGACGCCGATTCTCGCTTAATTATGCGAAAAATCTCGACGAAGTTTCGTCGGAATGATGTCGACGTGAAGGTTTGATATCTCGGGAGTATTCTTGACTAATGGAGGGTTAGGCTTCGAGCGGAATGCACGGACCAAACATCCTTCTGTTTAGCTCGTTTCCATGACGACCCAACAGAATTGTCC